CCCCACCCCCCCTCCCCCTGCCTCCGGGCTCATCCCAGGCGCATTCCTCAGGGGCACCTGGCCCAGGACTGGGAATGAGCAGCAGCGGACAAGCCTCCCAGGGCCTTGCAGTCGCGACTGAAACCTTCACCCGACTGGACTCTGGACGCCACTGTTAGTATTTTAGCACGAAAAACAGTTCTTTTAAGCAATTACGTAAAATCGGGCAGGAAGGAGAACGGTCCATGTCCTCCTCCTGAATCTCGGCTCCAGAAGGAGCACAGGGTCATGTTTGCAGAGAAAGAGGTGCGTGCAGTGGCCCAGCTCCAACCATGGGACCGGGAACGGGGCCCATCGCAGACAGGAGACCCGGGCGCCCAGGCTGCGGGCGGACAGGCGGCCCGTGGGCACGAGCGGAACCACGGAGGACCGGCCCGCAGAACCAGCCCGCCTGCCCGGGGCCGGGCCGGATACCCGCCTTCACCGAGGTCTCGGGCAGGTAGTGCGGGTTGCGCAGTTTCGTGGTGATGTAGAAGCGGAAGTCGGGCGCGTACTCGATGGGTGGAGTCGCCCAGGCGGATGCACGTGCTGCCGCCCTGCTTGAAGGTCTGCTTCAGCAGCAGCGGCTCCAGGATGGGGTCCAGCTCCTCGCCCACGTTCTCCAGCAGCACTGGCGGCAGAGAGAGAGCCGTTACTGGAGGCCGGGGGACCCCTGCAGCCCCCCTGCGCCCGAGCCCCACCCCCCCCTCCGGAGGGAGCGCGGCCTCCCGGGGATGCTCTGCTCGGGGAGATGGGGTGTTGGTAGGACAGGCTCCCACCCGGGGGGTCGCTCTCAATGAAAAGATGCTTCTCCTGGAGGGCACGGAAAGCCATGGAAAGATCTACACCAATTGATTTCTCTTTTAAAAATTAAAATCTTTTCGTATTTTGTGTCTCCAGCTTTACTGAGGTGTGAAAATTGACTTACCAGCAGTCTTTGTCTGATTACTATTCCGGGCAAACCTTATGCATCGGCGTAGCTCATACAAATGTGCCTTTATTTTCTAGAACTTTGGCTCTCGAACTTTCTTCCCCTTAAGCAGCGGGATATTTTATCAAAGAGGATCTTATCCTAAAACTCAACATCAATAAAAGGGAGGCCCATGGGTGAGGGAGGAGGACGAAGCTCCCCGCCCCGCCCGGCAGCCTGGACTGGGCAGCGCCGACCGGGGACAGGCCGAGTCTAAAGAGAACTCCTTAACGGAGGAGTCTTCACCGCCTATATGTTAAAGCGGTGGCAGTAACTGGCCCTTTTACTTGGAGGCTAAATATAAAAAGTTTTAAAATGTGCCATCTGTTTCTCTCTCTGGAATAGATTTAAAACTTCTCACCTCTTTCTGATGACTAATGTCAGAAGGCATTGTAAATCATCGCTATCTGTTTTTCAAGTATTTCATTCCAGAAACTAGGCTAAAGCAAGTGTAAAGGGCACCGAAGCGCTGGGCGCAGGCAGAAGACTTGGGGACCCGTTCGGCACCGCCCTTGATGAGGGTGCAAGCTGGCTAAGCCACGTGACTAACATTCTCTGGCTCCTCACCTACCTTGTTAATAAAACCAAGTGGTTGGAATAAGTATTGGATTTCAAATTTTTTTTTAATGGCCACAACTCCAAGTAAGAAATCCATTTTACATCTTAAACGAGTCTACACATATGCATCTAAAACTTTTAAAACTTCACGAAAGAATGCTCACCTTTACTCCATGCCAGGCAGCCTAATCTGTTCTATTAGTTTCTATTGCATTTCACTTGAAAATGCTGGTCAAGACCCACTAAGGTGGTTTTCTCTCTCACAGTGTGACCTACAGTTTCAAAAACACAGACCGATTGGCTCCACGGCATATTTCTGTCTAAAATAATGGCAGTATTGTCACCAATACTTATGGCTGAGATCACGGAAATCCCCAGAACCCCAAGCATGTGGTAGACGCTCAGTTATCATTAAGTTGTTCTTTTTACCTGTGTCAAGGAAATTATTTGAATACTCAAGTTAAATTAGGTAATTTTAATCACACAAAGTATTTATGGTGCCAATTCCTTCAAGAAATCTGAGTCCTCTGAATTCTCATAGTTCATCATCTGTGTCTTTCTGATTATACTGGGATAAATAACTATTATACTAATGTAATTAAAAGATGATACACATAAACTACATAGTAAGTCTCCAACCGCAGAAGCAACGTAAGCTTATCTGGCACTGCGGTAAGTACGCAAAGTAGTCACTCTGTCTTCCTGGCCAAAGCACAGATGGGGAACGGGGTCTCAGCAAAGTCACTGAACGAGGCGTCGTCGAGTGATGGGGCATCTACTCTATTTCCAGAGCCTGCCCCTCACAGCGCAGTGGCTCTGGTGAAGGTTAGCCATGTCCTTCCACTTTCTATTTGTATTACAGCAGCTACATATAGTTCCCGGTCCTGTCTGTTCAAAAAAGCAAGGCCTTTGATAGGAGAGATCATATTCCCCTTTTCTGTAACTCCGATCATTACACTATGCTCTAAGAACACCGGTTGGATGGAGGAAATTCTGAGTGTGTGTGTGGGTGTGAGCGGGTGTGTGTGTGTGTATCACACAGATTTTATTAGTAGACTTAGTTCATTTCATGCCTACCCTAGCAGAACCTACAATTGTAATTCATATTTTAAAGACTAACTCGTTATTAATATACAAAAATAAAATGCCCGAGAGACCACCTGGTATATTTGTGATTATTTTTCCACACAGTACTCGTTCTCACAGAACCTGGGGTTTGCTAAACTTGTCCTGAGGCTAAATATGTTGTAGTTTCATCATGTTTCCATTTATTTGATCAAGTAAAGAGTCACATCTGATGAGTAACATGAATTTAAAATGTGACTAATAACCCCAATTTACTCCAATCATAACTATTCTGTTCTTTGTTTTGACAAGTGTGACATGTGCATAGAGCTATATTGAAAAATCCTGGCCATGTTTCTAATCTCTTCCTTGTTAATGGCAGATAACAGTCAGCCACATAAAATGTGCACTTACTCCTCTGCCATTTCTATAGGGTAAGTTGAAAGAAGAATAAATAGATAATTGGACTAACACTGTGTTAAAATACTTTTGACATATCAAGTGGCCCTTTTAATGGTAGATGTGGAGTTATAATAAGAACTAAAGAACAACAAAGAACAGACAAAAATTAAAACTTTAGCTCAATTAGAGGACGCATCATAAATTAACTTTGAGATACAGAAAATATCCTAACGTTCTGGAACTAGAATCTCTGAAGTTCTCACTTGATTGTCAATAAATAATGAAAGACATTAATAAAGTCATTATTTAAGATTAATCCAACACACTTATTTTTTTAAAAAGAAACAACTGACACCATTTGGGGTTACTGAGCCCTCCCCAGGCATTTCCGTAATGTGCGCCTGTTGGCCGCCTACGTACCAGGGGTACCAAACTGGATGCAGTTCTCCAGGGTCCGGACGTAGTCGGGCTCACTAAATTTAATCAGCTGCAGACTGTTGGTCTTTTCCATGTTCTTGATCCATTTATTAGCCTGACCTTGAGGGTCTATCATCAGAGGCCACCTTCTCGCATTCCTGAAAGAGACAAGAAAGACGGTGCTGGTCAAGCTATGGCTCGTTTCCATGCTGTTTAATGTCACACGCATCACTTACAGCTTATGCTGTCTAGGGATGCTTTACTTTTTACCTTCCTGTAAGGAGCTATGCTCTGGAGGCAGACATTTACATTGAGCAGGCACCTAGAATGGCAACTCGAAAAGCCAGCTGGCCAACGTAACGCTGGTGCTTTTGCTTCTTTTGGAAAATTACAGCTCTCTATATGTACGTTGCATTTTGAAAACATTTGCTGCTTTTGCTAATTAAGTCACAATGACAACTGTTCACAGTGATGGAAGTCAGGGAGTGGCCAGGCCCGGCCATTAATGACTCATGTGATCTTGGGCAAATCGCTTTGCCCCTGACCCACTCTCAGCTGTCACTTGTACAACAGAGAAAGAGAAAGAATTGAGACGTCATATTTCTCTTTAAACTCTAGACCATTAAAGAGAAAATGGTCTAAGAAAGGTGAAAAGTGTAATTTTCTATCACCTAACCTTCATAATAGCCACGGACCCTTAAGTGTTAACTCGGTATTTGTTTCAGAAACGTGTACAGTCAATGGCACTTACATACCTAGTGATTTACCTAGTGATCGTCAGCTTCTTATGGACAGAGACCTGTTCTCGGAAAGTCAGGGTCTTGCGCCCTGGGAGCGCTCACACTTACCGCTTTATTCTCACTCCCATCCTCCCTTTTATGATAAGAACAAGAACAGTGGACCAGGAGACACGCGGTTTATTTCCCAGGATCCTGTGGGGTCACCAAGGCTAACCAGTCCCTGCCATCACCAGGTAGTACCAACCAAATCACCTGCTGCCTTGTGTAAAATGTGATTGGCATTTTTTCTTTCTCTTAGAAGTTGCAGTAAACACAGCCATCACAGTGGCCACTTTCCTCAGGAAAGTCTTCAAAAGCGAACACAGAAAGTTCACACAGAACATCAGAAGAGCAGGGGGAGAAAATAAAAGGAAACTGGGCAAATGAGACATACAGTGGGGATGGGGACAAGATGATAGCTCCTATTCAGTGTCCTCATACCACGAGTTTAGGATTTCATTGGATGACTTATCCCCCCCCCCCCGCATGGACATGATCATATTTCTCAGCATGGAGGTCACAGCCTGACACAAAACATGTCACTTACATGGTAACGAAGACGGTCCCATCCTCTAGTGTCAGCATCATGTAACGCACTGGTCCCCTTGGGCTGCCATAGCAAAGTACCACAGTGTGTCTCCAATCGCGTGAGATTATGTCTCACGGTCCTTGGAGGCTGGAAGTCCAAGGTCAAGGTGCCGCAAGTGTGGTCACTGCAGGGCCCCCCTCTGGCTTGCAGACAGCACAGCCCTCTGTGCATGCACCCTGCTGTCTCTCCCTCTTCTCAGAACGACACCAGTCCTGCTGGGGTAGGGCTTCTGCCCTTCTGACCTTATTTAACCTGATTAAGTCCTTAAGGGCCATCTCTCCAAAGACAGTCACATTGAGGGCTAGGGCTCCGACATATGCATTGTTGGGAATCGGGGGCGGGGGTGGGTGATACGGAGGAGGAACAACTCAGTCCGTTCTATTTAAGAAGAAATGAGACCCAAAGAGGAGCTTTGCATCTTAGACGCATTCAACTAATAAAAGAGAATCATATCCAAGAGAAGTTACAGGGTGTGAGAAGGGAAATGAGAAAGGAACACAACTTATGAATATGTAAAAGTTTCATTCTGTCGCATTTTAGAAACATGTTTAAGTTTGGAGGGTTTGTGTGAGTGTTAGACTGCATTTATGCTCCCCAAAGAAGTGGAATGACTCACTTTTCCAATTTTCTAGCCACAACACCCATGTTCATGCTGGGTTTTTGTTTCTTTTGTCCAAAATGTACTTCCTCCCCATCCTTCTGTGTTTAACTCCCACTCATGTTTCAAGGTCAGTTCAAATGCCATGCAGTCCACAAAGCCTGTCTTGCTTGCCTTTCTCTCTAAACTTCAGCAATTCACCCACATTACATTTACGGTGCTTGCATATAGTGATAATATTTCATTATGGTGATTCTATAATTTCCTAACTATATCACCCCACTAAATCGTATATTCCTAGATCAAATCAAGTTTGAATATGATTATCTCGTGAAATGGAAACAGCGAAAAACATCTGACAAACACCATACCAGTTAACTCGTCCTAAAAATTGACATTTTCTAAGAGACTCCTGGTCCACGGGGCAGCAGCTCAAGAGCAGAGGAAAGGGCTTCCGGTGCTGACCACGCTGGGCTGAGCACATTGTCACCAGCCTCTCCCACTGGTTAACCCAGGGGGAAATGCAAAAAGCAGATTCTAAAGAGTAAATAACAAGTGAATGGGAAGGAAGTTAAACCCTGAGGAACGACCTATAGGAGGGGACAGTTTCTCGTTGGGTGTTTTCTTGTTTCCAGCTTTGACCGGTGAACAGCCCAGCAGGGAAATGGCAGCAGGTCCAGGTAGCGAAACCCAGAAAACTTCAGACGTCATCCAGGGCCCAGCTCTAAGGATTCGTGTGTCTCAAGTCCCTAGCAGTAACTGCTTCTCTAACTTCCCTTAGGTGTTCTCATCAGATTTTGTTTTGTTTTATATTATACTAGAGGCCCAGCGCATGAAAATTTGTGCACTGGAGGGGTTCCCTCAGACCGGCCTGCCCCCTCTCACAGTCTGGGGCCCCTCAGGGGATGTCCTACTGATGGCTGCAGTCTGGCCTCCCTCTGCGGGAGGCCACCGGCCGATCAGGGGAAGGCACTGCCCTCATCACCCCCTCGCTGCTGCTGCCTCTGGCCTCCCTCTGCAGGCAAGAAGGCTGGCAATAAAAGGCCCATGGACATGTGAACTTGGAAAGCACAATTTTTGATTGTCCTCACATGGGGGCAGGCTGAAGGCCCTCGTTTCCGGGAGGTAGGATCTGGGGTAAAAAGCAAGGCTGGGTGAGCCTCCAGTATTTCTCCCAGCCCAGTCTGCCTGGGATTTATCGACTAACAGGAGATTCCAGGAATAGCAGCCATTGTCGTAAAAGCTCAATTCAGCCCTGACCCAGAAGTGTATCCATATCACTGAGAATAGCCCACACCCAGCAGGGACCACTACAGAATGTGGAACATGCAAAACCATCGCCACCAACAACCCACTGCACCTTTCATTAACCTGCAATAACAAAACCCTGGGAGTAAAAATTCTAGACTTTATTGACTTATGGTAGGGTTTGTTTGTTCGTTTTTAATATATATATATATTTTTTATTGATTTCAGAGAAGAAGGGAGAGGGATAGAGAGATAGAAACATCAATGATGAGAGAGAATCATGGATTGGCTGCCTCCTGCACACCCCCTACTGGGGATCGAGCCCACAACCCGGGCATGTGCCCTTGACTGGAATTGAACCCCGGACCCTTCAGTCCGCAGGCCGACGCTCTATCCCCTGAGCCAAATCGGCTAGGGCTGTTTGTTTGTTTTTAATGGTAGGATTTTGCTCTATTTGCTGAAGATTCATTTAAAATTAAGCAAGTAAAAAAAATTAAATTAAATTAAGCAAGTAATCTGGGTTTTTTGTTTGTTTGTCTACCATGGTCTCTAATACTCAACTATTCCAATATTAATAGGAAAAGGAAGTGATTATTCATATATAATTTAGCTAATTAAGCAAAAAGTTTTCTTCAACACTATCAAAGTACGCTAGCTATGACTGGTCACAAAGCGACACAGACAAATAAATCCCCTGGTTCGTGGAGGCCATCTGTGAGAAAAATGTCTTTCTTACATGGTGATGATTCCGTTGTCAATGGAAAACGAGTCAGAAGGTAGCCCAGCGATATTCCAGGTCCGGATGGTCACGGCTTCTCCCAGGATGCCCATCAGGGAGAAGTCTTCGGAACAGGGGATGCCCCTGCCCTTGCACAGGTCTGTCCACTCCTTCACTTGGTTCTTTAAGACACACACAAGGAGAGGAAACATACAAGGTCAGAGGTTGCTGAATGCAGACTCTGTGAGCTCCCTGCGTACACTTCATTCATTGAGTCAGCAAACCATTGTTGAAGTTCTACCTAAAAAATGATTTGTGTTTACCAGATTTTTTTCAAACAAAATGATAACTTAACTTAAAATGATAACTCTGTGCATTCAAATGAAAATTAATTATATCCAATGTTAAGGTAAAGTTTAGACAGATCACTTAATCATAAGGCCAGAATTTTGTATATGGAAAAATAATTGCCAAGTGTCATTCTTCTACAGCTTCGCCTGACAAAGCAGTTGGAAGCCACCATGTGTTTTTTTTATACATTTTCTGTAAATTGCAAATGGCCAGCAAACCTGGTACAGTTTATTGTATAAAAGTGAATCCAGCTTGAACTGGTAGGGGACCTGGAAAACGTGCGTTGCTGGCTCTCACGTGCCCTGGGCAGGAACCATGGCGGGACGTTTAGACACCAACAAGGATCAGGACATAGATTGGAGTTTGGGATACCCCACCCCGGATGCTCAGGAGCCAAACAGGGACTTCAAACCCAGGTGCACAGGCAAAAAAGTCAGAAATCAAGGACCCATGTGAAGTTACAGATCAAAGAATTCAGAAATAGTGCAAGACACGGGCAGGGAGAAAATAGGTCAGGAGCAGGCACGGAGAAGGTGGGTATACCTGTCTGTTGGTGGCAGCCCCGGAGGGTGGGGGAAGGGATGAGACGCTGGTGTGAAGCGATGCCGGCTGAGAGGGCATGGGGACTCTGCCACCTCCCACGGGTTCCTGCTGAGGAGGCCTGACCGACATTCCCTTAGGTTTGGGGGGAGCTGAGAACTTTCCTGACTGATCAGCCAGTGGTTTTGCAGAATGGCCCCTTGCTGGGTCTGTGCCATGTTCCCTGGAGATTCAGTTGGTGCCGGGCACCTTAGGCAGGAATATGACAGGAGATGTGTGCTCATTGCATTCCGCCAGTGGCACACGAGCATCGTTCCCTTATTGAGGCTGAATTTTCACTTGATTAGGGTGTTGTCTGCCAGGCTCCTGTCTCATAATTCCATGATCTTCATTTGGAATCCTGATTAAAAGCTCTGAGTTCCCTGTTGTGTCCCACCAACTGCCAGTCATTCATTAAGGCCTGAGCTGGAGGAAGTGAACTCCAGGCTCTGGGCCAGTGGGTCTAAGCCAGGGAGGGGTGCCCAGCAGAGGCCCAAGGGCAGGGTTTGAACATGGAAGCACAGGCAGCCGGAGCCTGGGCAGGACACTGAAGTCACCTCTATAACGTTATGTTTAGAACTGAACAGGTGCTCCCTTCGGCAGCGCATGCACTAACATTCCCACTGAACAGGAGGCTCTCGATGGGTGTGAACTGCCCGCCGCCCTGACCCGGAGAAAGAAGAGAGGAGGTTCTGGAGCGGACTCCACGGATGGCCTCACGGGAGGGACAGGGGCCTGAGAGACGCGCTAGCAAAAGGCAAGGCCCGGGGTGCTGCAGGGAAGCCAGGAAGGGCTGAAACCGCCTGTGAGCTTCATGCCGGCACCATGGGACGATGGGACGGACAACGGGGCTCCTGGGTGAGGGGGCTCCTGGTTGATGGGGCTCCTGGATGAGGGGGCTCCTGGATGAGGGGGCTCCTGGATGAGGGGGCTCCTGGATGATGGGGCTCCTGGTTGATGGGGCTCCTGGTTGATGGGGCTTCTGATGAGGGGGCTCCTGGTTGATGGGGCTCCTGGATGAGGGGGCTCCTGGATGAGGGGCTTCTGATGAGGGGGCTCCTGGTTGATGGGGCTCCTGGATGAGGGGGTTCCTGGTTGATGGGTCTCTTGGATGAGGGGGCTCCTTGGATGATGGGGCTCCTGGATGAGGGGGGGTCCTGACTGATAGGGCTCCCCGGTTGATCGGGGCCCCTGGAGGGGCAGGGCACCGGGTCCATGGGCCTTTCGCGAGTATGGGGTCTCTGAAGAAAAGCCCCCACAGTCTCACTGTCCCCCAAACGCTCAAACACCAAACTGAGCCCCCATCATGCGGGGGGTTCCTATATCAACCAACTCACCACCACCCAACTCAGAGTTTATTCCCGGGCTCAAGAGCCCCGCAAACCCAGCCTTCTGCCCGCCCCCCCTTGACTGCCCCGCGCTACAATGCCATATCAGCCCCGGCAACGCTCCCCCCCCCGC